AAAAAACAGCTGAAATTTTGGGTGTTGATGAAAACCTTAAAATCAGGTTTTACATTATCTTAGTAACACTATCTTCAGAATATAAAACAAACTATAATTGTAAGAACTATTATTTTGAAACTGCTACACTATATCGATGATCAAGACCACCAAGGGAATACGTCCACTAACCATTGTTTTGAGAAATCTAAATTTGAAAATTTGAAAACATACAATAATTCATGATATTTATTTATTATCATGATTTTTAACCAAATGCGTTCCTCAGTTAATTCTGTCTTGTTTTTTACTATTTTATTTTCATATCTTTTACTTACTTTAATACAATATTTGCGAAATAACTCAAAACCTTAAAATGTTGGGCATATTCCCTTTGTGCTCTTAACCATCAATATGTCCTTATATCCATGGTATTACATTGCTCCATCTGTTCAAAGAGTGTTGATACATGAACATGACATAATTCAAAGTCTTACATTACCCATAGAACTTACATTAGAAAAAGCTCAAGAAGCTAAAAATAAAGATTTCAAATTTTATTACAAAAATATCAACCAAAAAATATCAAGAGGAGCAATAAAAATGATCTGATGAATGGACTTCTAGTTTCCAGTTTCCTGTTCAGAGTCGGCGCGAGTAGGTGTCACGTAGGGAGGGGGGGGTTCCATTACAACTTTTGCCGACTACTTAAAAAAAGGAAAAAAAAGGTCCTCGTTTTCCAAATTTTGCCGAATGCTATGACGACATTTGCCGGCTGTCTATATTACTGACTAACCTATATCAAAAGGGTCCAATTTGCCGACTAAACGTCCAATTTGCCGACTAAAAATCATTGATGGGGGAGGGGGTGTCACATCCCCCGCACCTCCTATCGCGTCGGCCTTGATCCTGTTATTTCATCCCTGTGTAAATCAACACCACACCAACAAATAATAAAACATTTCCTTCAGACGTTTTAAAATTACTTAAACAACCTACAAACGACATTATCCCAGTCAACATTGACAAACAGGTACCGTAAGGTTTTTGTCTAGGCTTACGAGAACGGTAACTGGACGGGTAAGTGTTTTGGTTTTCGGACGTTTAACATATTTTCCACTAACTACTAAATATGTAGTAATTATTCTATTTATACTTTGTTTGCATTTTCAAAATGGTCAAAATATAAAGTTTTGATTCTGCTAGTGATGGTAATAACTGCTTTGAGTTTAATCAAATATTGGTTTAGTCAGAAACATTTAAAAACAGCAAACAGGCGAATGTTGTTATGCATATGTTATATTTAGGAAATTTAAAGCTTTCGAATTGTTTTTTCGAATCGTTTTTTTTTTAAACTTAAGCTTTTTTGAAACATTTTCCCCAAATTTTTCTACTTCTAGTTCAACTATTTCTGTGTGCAAACCATATTAATGTTATATAGCATCTTTTCATGTGCTGTATATTTTAATTCTATTTTTAATGCACCTTTTGTTAATAGAAGTGGATAAAAATCTCTGAACATTACTTGAGTAAATTTATCTTTTACACTCGATCACTCTTTCTTTAAATAAACACTCTTAGCTGATCTAGTTGTATTTACAACATAAAAAATCTTAGAAACACACTTTATCTTTTTGTTGCTATTTATTTCAATATCTTTTTTTTACTTCTCTGTATTCTTTAAACGAACAATTTCTAAACTAAAAAAGCCCAAGTTAAGACCATTTTGGATTCCACTACAACTGTTGTGAACCTGCTGCTAAAAAAAAGTACAAATGATAGATTTCTCTCTAACTTCTTTTTTACACACTTTTAAGTATTTTTTTTTTTTTGATTATTTTTAACTTTACACTACATAACATTTTCTATAGCTTTTTTTAATCTTTTACATACATAAATCTTTTACATAAATCTGCATCAGTATCTGAAATCAAATCGCGAGGTTAGAATTATTTTGTTCTATCTCCACTTTTTGAAAAAAATGAGTTATTAATTGTGTAATGTACCTCAAAATAATTTTTTTCTACTATATTAAAACCTAAGTTAAAATCAAAAAAGTTTCGGAGAAAACATAAGTAATAAAAATCTTTTTATTTGCCGTCTCCTAAAGTTTTTATTTTTTAAATCGTTTTATCTCGAAACAAAAAAATGTGGAGATAGAACAAAGTAATTCTAACCTCGCGAAATATTAACTATCTGTGATAAAACCTTCCATAGTAATCTAACAACTCTGTAGAGTGAGCTTTAAATAAAATAATAAATAGAATACTTTATAAATTTTTTTATTTATAATTATATTATTATTTACTTTATATTTATAAATAAACAGGGACTGAGCAGGCTGATATTTATTTGATTTAAATTGTTTGTTTAATTTAAATAAATTTTGATGATAAATATAAGAGCTCAAAGTAATCAAAGCTTCAACCTTTAATTTATTTTAAATAAAATTTAAAAGTCTTCATAATATCATAAGAAGAAACCAGAATATTTGTTTACATGTTTAATATATAAATTCTATTTCGTTATATCATTGTTTTTCTTTTTCTTTTAATTTATCTAGTTTTTGTTGGCTTTTTTTTTCTTTTTTTATTCTCCTCGTTTATATTTCATTTGCTTTTCTTCCTTTTTTGTTGTTGAGAACTTTTTGTTTTTTATGTGTCACTCCATTGACTATTTTGTATCTATATAAGTGACACCTAACCAATTTCTGTAAATTTACGATGAAAATTTGTAAATTTACACACAATTTAAAATAGTAGCAACATATCTTTAATCTTCTATAAAGAGAGATTACTAAGGTTTATCGGTCAAATGTTGAAACCAAATTTTGTTCTATTTTCGGTAATTCCACACAATTATAAATATGAATTCGTTACATAATACAAATTAGAGTTTTAAAAACTTTTAATTTGTTTTAAATTTTAAGGTTTTTATTCTGCATAGAAATGCTGCTTCAGTTCATCTAAAGTCACACTTGGAAGCTTTCAAAGTGTATGAGGACCTTCCCTAATTTTATTATTTTTTTCAAAATATTTTTACTTATTTATTATTATCCCCTCCATAACAAGACACTTGGGAGTAAATAATACTAAGTATATGGTATAGACTCCAACTTTAACTAAATTTATAACTTTATTAGACACTGGCAATTAGCTTATTTTTATAACTTGTCCCACAGTAGCTTATAACTTTAATTACTTAAAATTTTTTGCCGAAGCCAAAGATTCGGCAAAAAATTGACCTGGCTTCGGCCGAACCGAAGCTTCGGCAAAATTGCCGAAGCCGAAGCCGAAGCTTCGGTACATCCCTACATGTAAGTAAAAAGAAACAATGTTTATCCAAAACATCGTTAACTACATTATCTGAAAAACTTGTTTTATATTAACAGCATGTACCAAAAGAAACCTCGCTCAATATTGGAATTTAAACGCTGGAAAGCTACTGAATTACGCCAGTTTTTATTATATACTGATCCAGTAGTTTTGAAAGGTATATTGCCAAATGATGTTTATATAAACTTTTTGGATTTATCTGTTGCTGTACGTATTCTTTTATGTCCATCGCTTTGTGCAAATTATCTTGATTATGTTAAAAAGTTGCTAACATATTTTGTTGCTACATTTTGTAAATTATATGGGAAAGATCAGTGCGTTTATAATATTCACTCCTTAATTCATTTGCCAGATGATGTTAATCATTACGGTGCTCTGGATAAAGTCTCTTCTTTTCCATATGAAAGTTATCTTAGAAGATTGAAAAAGCTTGTGCGGCGACCTCAGTTCTTGAGCTTTCAAATTGTGAGAAGTATTTTTGAGGAACATTTGAATCCAACTAATCAAGACTTGATTAGTTGTATAATCAAGACTACTACTACAAGACAACTACAAGACAACTAATCAAGACTTGATTCAAGTTTGTAATGAAAATAAAAGTGTTTTTAAAAAGCTTCACACTGAAGGTCCAATTCCCTTATCATATCGTCACTGTTTACAATTTAAGAAATATAATAGTGCTAAGTTTTTTGCTTCAATTAATGATTGTTTTAAAGTAAACGGGAAAGTTGGTGTTATAAGAAATTTTTTACAAGTTCCAAATAGCGAGTGCAATGAAGCTTATATTGTTTTTCAAAAGTATGAACTTTTACAACCGTTTTTTACAGATCCAATGAACTCTGACTTACTTTCAATTTTTTTTGCAGAAAAGTTATCCTGTTTTAATTCAATTTTTCCAATTGCAGATTTAGATTGTAAATATGTACAGTTACCATTTAAAAATGGATTTGTAATTATTCCTCAAATGCATCTTTACTAACTTTAATAAAATTTTATGAAATTTATTTACTTGCTTTTTTATTTGTGTTCTACTTTTTTTATTACATATTTTTAAATTGTTGCATCCTTTGTATTACATACTATAGTATAAATGGATATATGCATTTGCATGTACTACTTTTAAAACTTTTGCTGCAGTATACTGCATCAAAAGTTATAAGAGTAGTAGCTACTCAAATAACTTTGGGTAAATACTGCAGTATTTACCCTAATAATAAATAAATACTTGTTTGTTACATTCCTGTTTATTACATAGTGTACTACTCTTTAAACTTGACCACTTTATAAAAATTATGCTATGGTTGATTGTGATGCCTATTTTATTAGATTAAAATGTCTTATGCAATTGTTTCATTTGATGAAAGTAATGAAACGGATTTTCTTCCATTAAACTGGATTGCTGATGGTACCTTAATGAGTGATATTCCTATGCGAATTAAAAAGCATAACTAAAAAATCCAGAAAGTATTTCTAAGGCAAAAAGTCGGTGTTTAGAGGCCGATTTGAATTGGCCCACTTATAAAGCACGAATTTGTCTACTGCTGGTAACTGTTTGTTTTTATAATTATATAAAATATATATATATATTTTTTTTGCATGGCTCTTATATATGGTTAAAAAATAAAGTTGTTTTGTGATGTAGATTATTTTTCAAGTTATCAGTATTTAAATTTGAATTTTGTCATT